GCCCTTTTTGGGGGTTTAGGGTTTAGGGTTTAGGTTTTAGGGTTTGGGGTTTGGGGTTTAGGGTTTAGGGTTTAGGGTTTTTGGAGCTTTGGGTTTAGGGTTTAGGGTTTAGGGTTTAGGGCTCTTCTTTTCGGGTTTAGGGTTTGGGGGTTTAGGGTTTAGGGTTTGGGGTTCAGGGTTTTTTGGAGCTTTAGGTTTAGGGTTTTGGGTTTAGGGTTTAGTGTTCTTCTTTTAGAGTTTAGGGTTTAGGTTTTGGAGGGGGTTCTTCTTCTGGGGTTTAGGGGTTTAGGGTTCTTCTTTTGGGGTTTAGGGTTTAGGGTTCGTCTTTTGGGGTGGCTTGATGGCTTACGAACAGGGTTGTAGAACAAGGGTTGACGCGTTACTGTAGGGGCCTTATTATTAACCTATATTATTCTGGGGGTTCCGTATTATGATCATAGTATAATATACCCCGAAAGCCTATTCTAATTACTAAGGCCCCTACGTAGGGCCCGAATCGCCCGACAGCGGAGCTGTAGGGAATATCGTAGCGCCCCAGCACCCTCCGGGTGCGCTTTTTACCACGCCCTCGCCGGGCTGGCATCGACGGCTGCGAGCCCGACGTTCCAAGGGACGTCTGCACCTCCGTCGTGGTGAACCTCCTGCTCCTCGACAACGCCGGCTTCTGACCGTGCATCATAGCACGTGTCCATCTCTTCGAGCACGAACTTTGCTAGGCACTCTTATGGGCAAGAACAAGAATCGTGCTGATACTCGACCATGGCGTCAGCAGAGCTATGGCGGAGACGGCCACTACAATGGTGGTGGAAGCTGGTCCTTATGGTCAGGTGCTTGGAAGCAGTCACCGAGAAGCCGAGGGAAGGAGCCCACTTCGGCCTTTCCTGCATACGATGCAGGATGGAGGCAGGCTACGGAGATCATGACTGTCTCGGAGCCAGCCACGCACCCAGCTCCGCCGACTGGTGGTATCGTCAAGGATGTGCAAAATGCTGTAAACTCTGCTCGGAAGCTGGAAGGCAAGCTTCAGAAGTTGCAGAAGGAAACGTTGCAGCGTGGACAGGCTCGGGATGCGTGGGTTTTGAAAATGAGGGAACAGTATGCCAAAGAGCTCGAGCGGTACAAGACGGAGCAGGAGGCTGCCCTGCTGCAGAAGCCGGCTCCTGCCCCCCCGCCGCCCCTGGAATGGGAAACTGCGATGGATGTAGACGACTTGACCGAAGAACAGACTCGCGCCGAACTTGCGCGGATGCTGCAGAAGGTGCCTCCGCGTACTGCAGTTGTTACTCCACCCAGGGGCACCGGAGCTCCTCCTCATACTCCCCCGCGTTCTACCCCTTCGCCGGCTCCTACCAGTACTCCGGCTCCTACGATGGATGTGTATCCCTCGCCAGCGCCTGCACTGTCAGAGGGCGCCCTCACGGGGACTGTGCGTGTTCCGCCCGGCCTTGCGGATCCGCGGGTCCCTGTCACCCATGCGGAGCTTTCGGTTGGGCAGAGTTCTCTTGCCTGCAAGCTTTCTGGGAAGCGACGATCACTACGCAATGCTCTCGCCCCCTTCGGCAATGGCAGGCCTTTGGGCCCTCCCGAGGATGCTCCAACTGCTACTACCTCAGGCGAGGTTCCGGACGCGATCGATCCAGGTGGGATACTTCTGGACGACGATGTCGACGAGCTTTCTCAGGCAGAGCGCTCGCCCGGTTTCGGCCGACTCGAGTGAACGAATTGCCGCCCGGGAGGCTTCTGCCGACGAACCCTGGCATCTGTGGCGATCCCCTAGTGGGCCCGGTCTTATTCAGAGAATCGCTGCTTCTGGTGGTGCAGCTTATTCTCTGGTCTGACCTGCTGCCCGTTGGGTGGAATACCCACACTTGCTTGTGTTCTGAGGCAGAGCTTCCTCTTTCTGAGCCTGCTGAGTACCTTAGTGTCTCACTCAGCTTCGGATTTTTCTCTGCGGCTGTATTTCGAGGACTGTATAGTTTTGCGATCCTCGTCCTCTCTCGCCCTGCTCCTGGATTTCCGCCTGGGTTCGGCGGTTCGCCCATCCTGCAGGTCCTGCCAGTTTTGGACTTCTCTCGCGGCAGGTGTTCCTTGCAACCTTGTTTCTCCCCTCTGGCGCCTAATAGGTGTATCGGTGGCTCTGGGACATCAGCCAAGGGAGCTTACATTTTTGTGACCGGCCTTTCCCTTCGGCTTTAGGCCCCCTCCTAGTAAGGGTACCCGTGTCTGCGAGCTGCGGTTTCTATATCCCAGCCGCTGTGTTTTTCTTTCCTTACCAGGGGTCTTGAGTGCCAAACAGCTGTATCGGTGGCTCAGGGACAGCGACTCAACCCCGACATGGCTCTGCGACTATGCGTGGACCTTCGATACGTGGATTACCCCTGCCTTCCCCTTAGGGTTTAGGCCTCCTTCTGATAGGGGTACCCGTGTTTGTCAGAAGGGGGTCTCCTTGCCCTCACTGGCTTCGCCTGCAGTTGGCTTCTCCCTCCCTGCCGCTACGAGCCGAGAAGTCTCTCCTCCTCAACTTTGCGGGTGTGATCATCTATTGTCGTGCGGGGTTCTGAGTGCCAAACAGCTGTATCGGTGGCTCTGGGACAGCGACTCAACCCCGGCACGTACTGGCGACTTTTTGTCCCGCCCCTGTTTAGACTCCGCAATTCCTGCGCTGGTGTGCGTACTTGGTTTTCTCGCGGAGCTCCTCACTCCCTTTGCCAGAAGTCTTGCCTTACTCCTTCTTCTGGCTCTCTTCCGCCTCCTTTGGAGTTCGCTCCGTGGCAATCGACCGCCGGGCACCGTGTGCTCCCTTGCGTGCCCTTCTGGCTGTGCGCTACCTGGTTCTTCAGTCTTGTCTTGGACCCCCTGGAAGGACCGCAAGGGTCGCTATGCCAGAGTATGCAGACGACAGTATGCTGGAGGAACATGCTTGAACAGGGTGGTTTCCACTGTTGTTCTCTTGTTTGGCTGCAGCAGCTTGCCCACGGTTGCTTTTACTTGTCCCTATGGATCGGCGTTGACCGCACTGTTGCTTTCGTTGCCTTCCGTGCATGCAGTGACGTGCACTGAGCTCACTGGAGCCTCGAGTAGGGCTCTGCACGCCATCCACCCTGAAGCACTCACTTCTTATGTTGGCGGCCCTCTGCCTGCGGTGCCTTGGCGTGATCCAGATCGTGCTCGACGTGCTGGTCAGGCTATTGCTATCCACGGACGTGACTGGCCGGTTGGTGGCCCCACTAATGGGCAGGGTTATCATTGGTTGGGCGTGTACCTGTACACACCCTACTATGCCCCTGTTTCTTTTGCCATTCAGGTTGCGGACGAAGCGCGGATTCATGATGTCCTGGAAACGGCCCTCGACTGTGCTCCTGGTGCGCCTGATGGCATCATGGATAGAATTGTGGCGTTGCGCCCCCAACGTTTTGAGGGCTATTTGTCAGCAATCCGCTTCCCCAGTCACTTGAGTCAAATGGGGGAAGGCCTTTCGGCAGTTGTATTTGACTTGACTCGGGTTGGGGGTCAATACTTTGCCTCGGTGCTCCCCAGGCATACTTCTTGCCAGCTTGCATGATTTCATTGTCCCTCTTACTTCGCATGATGACGAGCCTCTGAGAATCTATGTGGGGTGCCGCAGCTACCCATGGCCAGAGGCCGCTCTAGTTAACTTGAACGACGGTGATGTCGTAACGGTCATACGTCATCATGTTACCTTTGGACGCTGGAAGCATGAGACCCTTCACGATCGTTCCACTTGAGGACCTATGTGTCACTTCTTTGCGCCTGAGGTGTACGAGAGTGTCTGTGTCATCCACCGGGGCCATCGCTTTTGCGTGCGGGAGCACCACCATTACGGCAGCACCATCATAGAGCATGTAGCGCGTAGCCTTCGGCTCGATGTGAACTTGCTTGTTGCTTGTACTTTCATGACGCCAGGCTTGGATGTGCAAGGGTGGTACTGCCCTAGGCTCGTCACGTTTGTTGATCGGCCTCCTCTTGTTGATGGTGAGGCGACCCGTGCCCGGCACGACGTCTTTACGTTGTGCGATCTGCGTCCTCTCGGCTTCAAGCCTGAGTTCATGCATACCAACGTGCCGAAGCTCCATGTGCCAAGCCTATTGTCGAACTTCCAGATAGAGCTCCCCTCGACCCATAGGATTGGTATCATTGGTGGGCAAGTTGAAGGGGACTACGTAGAGGTTCAGGGCTGCTCCACCCTCCTCTTCTACGCCATCAGCCGAGGTCCTGGTGCTTCTTCTGGCGGTGGCCATCTTGAGATGCCCTCCCCTGTCAATAGCGGGGTGCTTATGGCAGTTCCAGAGTGGACGCGTCTCAGCCCTCCTCCTGCAACCGATGATGATCTTGATACAACAATTCCTGCAGGACACAGTTGGAATGTTACAGGCGGAGAGATTGCTTCTCCCTGGTCGGCTGCGCCGCCAGCTGCCTTTGAGCAGGAATGGGGCACAAACGATGGTCCTGTTCCAGCTGCTTCCCCTCCCAGTGCAGCCGTCGAGCTTGGCCCACTCCCTGTGGAGCTTTCCTTCAGCCCCATGACTGATGTGGTTTCCAGCAGCGCTGGTGCATTGGGAGACCGCCGTGCCACTGTTGAATCGCATGCTAGTGCTGTGGTAAGGGATGAGGAGCACGGGCCGACTAAGCTCTGTGCATTTGTGTATGCCCCAGACTTTGCTCCGGAGATGCTGCAGGCGTCCGCTTTCTTGCCCTGCAGCGTTGATACGGCCATGGCTGCCTTTGCTGCTGCGCGCACAGCTGACGCCGTTGCCAACTTTCCGAACATGGCCGTGGTGTCTCCTCAGCCCTTCTCTGATTGTATCGTTGCGGTCGCTGCACCCGGGTGGCTCGCCTCGAAGGCGATCGTCCTTTTTGATTGCCGGGGCATTAACCGTGCCCTGTTTGCACGTGTGCTTGATTTTCGGATCAATCGGGAATCCTTGCTTCTTGCAGCGGGCCTTCCAGGAAACAGCGTGATGGACGTATACGTACACGGATTGGTCCAGCCTTTGCATGCACAGCAATCCCTTACCCTCGTCAATGGTATGTTAACATCATTCGTCACGCCTGCTCTCGGGGCTCCGGCGACCTTTGAGATCGCTGAACAATTGTCTTCAAGCGAATGCTGGAGTGCGAATGCTGAAATTCCCGGGCCGGGGAGTGTGCCTGAGCAGTTCTTTTGGATACTCACGGATGGGCAGCCGACTCGCTTTGAGGTGCAACCAGGTAGGCGCTCCTCTTTCCGAGCTGATCTCGCTCAGCACTTGTTGACGGAAGAGCGCCGCTTAACACTCAGGCCCTCAGTGCCCAGGATCATTGATGGCTTTCTTGATGGGTTCCTCACTAGTGGGGTCATCGTTGCCACTGAGCATGTGCAAAGGCTTCCGATGCCTCCCGCTCGTTTCCGCGACCCTCGCCTCATTATCTTCGCGATGCGCGTCATGTGCTTCAGGGATTTGTGTGGTTCCTTACGGAACAACCCTTTGTCCCCGTTCGCCGAGTTACTGCGATGTTCGAGGCAGCTTGCCCCCCGGAGCACCTTGTTGCTGTTACAGGTGCCGATGTTACTCACCAGGAGGCCGAGGTAGCTTTTATTGTTCAGGATGGCCATCTCCTAACTGTTGAGTTCGTGGAGGATCTCTTAGGAGTCAATGACTCGGGGTCGGACGATGACCCTGGAGCGCCTCCTCCCGACGTGGGGCCCGATCGTTCGTATCAGGGCAGGGATCGGCCTACGCGAAGGAATCCACGCAGCCAAGGGCGAAATCGCAGTCGTACTCCCAGAGATAGGGTCGCTGGTTGTACGGGGGCACTGACCGCCTCCCCCGCAGAAGTGCTCAACCGCTGTCGTCGAGATGACATGTGGAGCGTCGTTATCACGCAACACGCCCTGCTTGAGGGCAATCGATGCCTCACCCCTGGCCCCTGTCCTCCGGCAGCTCTTCTTTCTCAAAGCTTTCTGCTTCCCCTCTTCGGCCAGCCCTTCTTCTTGCACTGCGGAATGCCACTCTGCTCATGCGCAATTTGCGCGGTTCGGTGCATTCTGTGCTGTCTGCACGGAGACTATGCTTCTCGGTGCTGGGAATGGCGTTTTGCCCTCCGCATTTCTTGACTGCAAACTTCTTCAAGAGACCGCTAGTGCCAGCGAGGGCGCTTTCCAGGCTATACGGGCGGCCCAAGCTGCCACTCAAAGGCTTGGACATCACTGGCCCCTTATGCCGGCAGAACAGGCCTATGGTCTCCCCGCGTCGGACGATGACTTTGACGCCGAGTCGTCTGGGCTGGCTGATGAAGTGCTGACTGAGGTCATTTTCGTGCTCTTGGCCCCTGATTACAGGCCAGAAACCATCCGGATCACGCTTCTTATCCCGCAGGGGCTTGGGGATGCCCTGGATTTAGTCGAAACGTGCCGTTGTGGAGACTTGCGCGAGGCTTTTCCTCTGATGGCGCCTGCGTGGCCTCAGCCCGATCCCAGACGGGGGGTGCTTATCCTGTGCCCCGCTTGGCTCGCGGATGAGGTCGTGATTTGTGTTGACCTCACCATGCATGATGGCCGACTCTTTGCGATTCGTGCCCCCTCTCGCCTTGGAAGGCACGATCTTCTGGCCATTTCCGGCCTGGCTTCTCTTGCAGACATCGATGTGTATGTTCCGGGTACGCTTCGACCTTTGAACGATGCTGATATCATCTTTCTTGCCACGGGTCATTGTGTACGATACCTGCCTCGGGGTGCGGAGCCTCCCCTGGGCTATTCTCTTGAGGGTATGCTGTGTTCTCATCTTCCATGGGCTACCGACCCGCCCTTCCCAGTTGATGAGGATGTTGCCTGCTATTGTGTGGTTGCTGAAGAAGGTGTCCGCAACTTCCGTCTGCATCCCTCCCGAGCTGTGCGTATCGTGCTGATGTTGCCGCTCTCTTCCAAATCGATCCTTTTCAGGTTGCCCTCACTCCATCTAGCCCAAGACAGGTTAATGCTGCTTGCTTTGGGCGACACAGTCAAGCTGTCGTTGCCATTGGCCAGGCGTGCTGGGACCGTGGCCAGGCATACACTGTAGGCCTGCTGGACTGCAGGCCCCTTTTACGGGGCTGGCGGCGCTTCTCCGTCCGTGATGGATGGGTTGACCTTTTTGGGTTGCTGGACCGATTCAGCTGGCTTGCCCCACCGGGTTGGTCCGTCGGAGTGTCGGGTTGCCTTCTGGGTCAACAATGGCTCTGGATCTCAAGCGGCCAAGTTCTGGAGCTTTGCCTTACGCATGCCCCTGCACAGTCTGGATATGATTTTGGCTCACCTTCTGGCCCTATACAGGATCCGGGTCCTTCCCCCGCCGGTGACGAGGAGGAGACAGAGGCAGTCACCACGCACCAGTTTCCTGGGCCTGCTGCAGGTGGAACAACTCGTGGTCACGCTGGTGCACATACCGGGCCGTCCGACTGCATGGAGGTCTCTGGTGCTTGTCTGCGGCATTTCCCGCGCCCTTCTTGCCAACATGACGCATCTGTTCGCCCCTGGGTATTTTTTGGGGCGCTTGGGCTTATGACACGCTTGGCCATGCTTTCCTTTGCACCCATCTTGCGTTTTGGGGTTGTCTGGCTGGTTGGGTTCGGCCGACACGGCAGGTATCATGGGCTCTGTATGTCCTTCTGCATGGTGGCGCTATTGGATGCCACTTCTTGGGGTTTTGCTGAAGCTGTCCAGTTACCCCAGATCTGCGAGCACAACGCTGTAGGTCTTTTGGGCACCCGGGAAGGGCACGGCACTGGTGCTCCTTCTTTTCGTGCAATAGCCACTCCTTGCCGTGCTCCTGGCTTCGTTCCCTCCTCAGGGCTCATGGGGCAGGTTGCGGCCTCCCGTCTCTCCCCGCGCATTTTCGACGAGGCAGATGAAGATTGGTTTGAGGAACCCTGCACTCTCCTGGAGCATGCTGCTTGGAGTCCCGGCTGTCAGGCTTTCTTCCTCGCTGCCACGCTTGCTGAGGCTCTCTTTGAGCACTTCGGCATGCCCCAGCACTATGCTCGAAGACGTGAGGTGCCTACCACTCTTGCGCTCAGCTCTCTCATCGGGGAGCCCAGGTGGGACGTCAGTGAGTCTTCGGAGGTTCCCCTTTTTGCATTGGGCTGCTTTCGCGAACCATAGCCAACCTGAGGTTTTTGATCTTGAAGCGCGTCAGTGCATGCTGCCTTGTCACGCTGACATGCTTGATTCTATCACCCGGGCTTTCCCATATCACGGTCTTCGTGGCCCAGCGGGCTTTTTGCCATTGCCTGAGCGTTTTGATGCTTGGCTTGCGTCAGGCGCTGTTGGCCGAGCGCCCGCCCCAGATGAGCTCGTCGTTATCACTACGGATGGCTCATTTGATCCGTGCACCCGGCATGCTGGCTGGGGTGTGGTGATCAGTCTTGCTTCTAGCAATGACCTATTACTTCCAGGGCAGTTCATTGGATGTTTCTCTGGGAGCCTTGATGTGCTCCGGGATGCTGTCGGCCCCGCATTTGCGTCCTATAACGCGTACCTTGCCGAGGTTGCGGCTCTTTTCTGGGGGCTGTTCTTGCCCTGCGTTTGCCTGGTTTCCTGCACGGGGTGTTCCGGGCTGATAACATTGGTGCCCTACAGGGTGCCGAGGGCACCGTTCGTATGCAAGATCATCCTCTTTGCCATGCGGCTGCTGCCCTGCATACAGCGCTGCGCCTGCTGCAGACTTCCCCCACTTATCAGCATGTCCCTGGCCACTCGGCTGACCCGGCCAATGAGCTTGCCGATGCGTTGGCGGGTCAGGCTTCGAAGGGGGTTGGTCTTGGTGCCTCCCTTGCCTTCAACGACCTGCGGTCTTGGTTTGCTGATGATGGTGCTGCCTTCGCGTGGCTGCCGCGTGCATGCTTTGCGCGTCAAGCGCCGCGCGCAGTGCCAGACCTGCATGGTGGACTCATGGCTTGGAGTCGCCATACAGCCACTGCCAGTATGACCCCCTCGGACACCCTCTCTCCCTTTCTCAGGGCGTTCGATACGGCGGGTCGAGGGCCCTCTGTTAGTGCTGCCCCTGCCGTGGTTATCAACATTGTCTCTTTCAACCTGCTCTCGCTGTTGGATCCGGGCGGTCCTGCTCATGTTGCCGGTCTGCATGGGGCATCTGGGCGTGTGTCGCTTGTAAGTTCCTCCCTTGCGGGCCTTGAGGTTGGAATTGCAGGTCTCCAGGAGTGTCGCACCCCTAGGGGGACCATGCGCTGTCAGCACTACCGGCGTTTTGCATCAGGCAGGGATGATAACGCCTGTTACGGTGTCGAACTGTGGATAGCCGAAAAAGGCCCTTTCGATCCTGACTCGGTTACCATTCTGCACGCTGAGCCGACATTTCTTCTTGCCGGGCTATCTTTTCGCTCTTCGCCCCTCCGCGTCCTTGTTGCTCATGGGCCGCATCGTGTGCACACGGCCGCTGATCGTCGGTCCTGGTGGCTTCGAGTCACGCAGATCTGCTCTTCTCACGCTCGGGATTCTGCCTGGCTTGTCCTCGCTGACGGCAACTGTCGTGTGGGTAACGTTGAGAGTTTTGGAATCGGCTCCCATCAAGCTGACCTGATAGAGACTCTTGGGTGTTGGATCCCATCTACCTTTGCTGCAACCGCCTCTGGGCCTGGCGGCATAATGGTGCTTGGGACCGGTCTGACTACGTTGCCATTCCCTGCTCTTGGACTCTTCGGCACTGTGTTGCTTGGGTCGAGCCTTCTGTGTCAGCCGGGCATCAATGCCTCGATCACCTCGCTGTTGCTGTGTCTGTGACCCTGTCGCCTTCTACTCAGCGTCGTGCCGCCAAATCCAAGCGAGTGGATTCGCAGGCTCTTGCACTCCCTGAGAATCGTGCGGTTGTTGAAAGCATCATCTCCTCTGCGCCATGCCCCGATTGGACTGTTGATGCCAGTGAACATGTTGCCCTGCTGACCGATCACCTGTACCGTCAGCTAGTGGCTGCATTCCCGAAGGAGCGCAGGCGTATGCGTGCCTCACACTTCTCTTTGGAGACGACCCGCCTCCATGAACTTGTCGCCGGTCTCAGGCATTCACTGCGCAACAGAAGTGCTGCGTATCGTTGTGCCATGCTTCGCTGTGCCCTTGCTGCTTGGCGTGTTGGTTCACAGCCTTTCCATGCCTTTTTCACTGGGCGGTGGCTTTGGCGCCTTCAAATCCGGCGTGCGTTGGATTGTGTCCTCCTTCGTCGCTACGGAGTATGCCTCCGTAAGAGTTGTCGATCTGACCGTAAAGCACATGTGATTCGCCTATCTGAGCAGGTTGAGGCCTCGCCATCCGCAGACTTGCACCAGGCTGTCCGGCAGATAATGCGTCCAAAGAAGTATCGGGGAAAGGGAGCGGCCCCTCTCCCTATGCTTAAGAAGGCGGATGGGACTGTGTGTACCTCTGCTGACGAGATCGCAACGGTGTGGCGCGAGCATTTTCGCGTACTTGAGGCTGGGCAGGAGACGGATGCAGAGACTCTCGCACAAACTTGTCGTCAGAGACAGCTCGCCTTCGAAGGATCCGACATCGTGGATGCAGCTGCTATCCCGACGTGGTCTCGATTGCAGGCCGCTTTCAAGGCTACGGCCCCGCACAAGGCATGTGGTCCGGATCTTCTTCTTCCGATTCTCTGCTCGCTTTTCAGTCAGAAGCTGACTGAGGCTTTTTGGCCTGTTATGCTTAAAGCAGTTCTCAGGTCCAATGAAGCAGTCGGTCTAAAAGGTGGCATACTCCACCGAATCGCGAAGCCGTCGGCAGTCGAGAACACAACGGCAGGCTATCGTGGCATCCTTGTGCAATCTTGTTTGTCGAAGGTTCTTCACCGCGCGGCTCGGCACTTAGCGGTGGAGCACTGGCAGCAACATGCTCTTCCACTACAGATTGGTGGGAAGAAGGGGTGTCCCGCGGCATTTGGGCATTTTTGTTCGCGCGCATTTTTGGCGGTGATGCGAGCGCTAGGCAGGTCGGCGGCTGTGTTGTTTGTTGACATTGCGGCTGCTTATTACGGCGTCGTTCGCGAAGCCGTGCTAGGCGCGAGTGCACATTCACAGCCTCTCGATGCTCTCGTTGCCTCCCTGGGCCTTACTGACGCTGACATGCAGCTCCTCCAGCACTACATAGAGCACGCTCCGGTCCTTAGGCAGCAAGGAGCTTGTGCGTTGCTGCAAGAAGTTGCGGAGGAGTTGCATCGCAACACGTGGTTCGTCATGGCCGGTGATAGCTGCGTCATCGAAACGTGCCGGGGCACGCGGCCTGGCGGGTCCTTGGCGGATATTATTTTTAATATCCTCTTCAGCAAAGTGTTGAGTCGACGATGCTCTTCTACTCTTGGTCCTTTTGTACCTCGTGTTCCTTGGAGTGGCTGCCGCTCCCCGTGGACCAAACCTGGGTCCCTGGATCGTGCCCCGCTTGTGGTTGAAGCCAGTGACGTGGTATATGCCGATGATCTGGCTAGCTTTCTTGTCTGTGACAGGGCAGATGAAATCACTGAGGCTGTGTCAGGCGTGGCGGCGGACACCATTGACACCTTCCTTCCGCATGGCCTCAATGCCAACATGGGGCCGACAAAGACGGCAGCTATCGTGGTCCCTGTGGGCAGAGGATCACGTGCGGTCCGCCGTGCACTTTTCAGCCAAGGCAAAGGCAGGCTTGTGATCCTGCCGGAAACCAGGGGTGGTCTCCGACTTGACATTGTCGCCTCGTATAAACACCTCGGATCTCTGGTGTCTCATGATGGGTGCCTTACGCAGGAAATTCGGCATAGGCTCTCCGCTGGCCGTTCTGCTATGCACGAGGGTAAGCAGCGCCTCTTTGCGTGCAGCAGCATTCCCGTTGAGCGTCGTGCCACCCTCTTTCGCATGCACGTTCTTGCTGCAGTGCTGCCGGGGGCAGGCACGTGACGTCAGCTGTGTGGGCAGGAATGGGACCTGTTTTCCGGGGAAATCATGAGTTTGTACCGGCAGCTCTTGTGCCTTCGTAGTAGCGGTGGTTTCCGGTGCACGAGGTCTCAGATTCTTCACCGAACCGGACTCTCCTCACCTGAGGCTCTTCTTCACTTGGAACCACGGGCCCGATGCTGCATGGGCTTTATTGGCTCAGTACGAAGAATACAAACGAGCCCTGCGGGGTGCTGCTCAGTGGCTTCTTGCCGCTGTTGGGTCTACCTGTGGCCTTGGTGATATCGAAACCAATTGGCAGGCCTGGGAGGCCCTTGTCCGGGACTCCTCCCATTCGTGGAAGACCCTGCTTAAGAGGGCAGACTCATGGCACCGCATGCGGACCTCGCAGATTTCTGTTCTCGATGGGTTTGCTCGTGCCTCCTGGCCTGAGCGCGTTGGCTCACGGCCTACCCCGGTTGAGAACTGCGTGCACGCTTGCCTGCCATGCCGCATTGCTTTCACTTCACGCCAGCAGTGGGGAGCTCATGCCCATAGAGCTCATGGGTATCACTCCCGCGCCCACTTAGTGGCTAGCGGACGCACTTGCCAGGCGTGTGGACAGGTTGCTTCTGAACGCAAACTGCGTACGCACCTGCGTTTGGGTCTTGCTTGTGTGCAGCGCATTGAGCAACTGAGTGCTTGTGGCCCTGTTCATGCGGACGCTTCCAAGACTCATGAGTTGGCTCCTGCAATTGCTGGCGCTGGCAAGCGATCCCTTGGGGCGCCTGCTACGGAGCTCTGTGCCCCCCTTCTCGCTGATTTGTCTGTCTGGCAACCGCCGTGTTGTGATCGTGACGAGGCCATTTTCGCGGTCGTTCGCCGGCATATGGTGCCCCTGCCTGTCCTGCGAAGCACGTTGTTAGCCTGGCGTTCTACACTTGCGGATGGGCCAGTTAAGCAAGCCTGTGACGATGTTTTGCTGGTTCTCCACCCTGAGCATCTATGCGACTCTGTGGCAGGGGCTACTCTCTCTGAGGAGCCTGATGACGTTTATGTCCCTGCTGTGGTTGTCCCACGTCGCTGGCCTGCTCCGGACTTTTCTCCTTTGCTCTGCGTGGGTGTGCCCTCCTCTGACTGGGCTCGGGCCGCATCTGTCGATGGCCTTCCAGTTGCTGGTGTCACCTTGGACGAGCTCCCTGCCTGGAGCTGCGCAGCTGTCTCGGGAGCCTGCGTCTCCTTCCCCTCTCCTCCTCTTGAGGCCCTTCCTGTCTTTAGTCCGTCGCCTTGCACTTTGCGTGCGATCCGCTCGCTTTGCTCCTGGACTAAAACCATGCTGGATGCGCTTTCGGTGCTCCTGCAGTTGGCGGGGCGTGGGCTTCCGGTTCTGGCCCGCTTTCCGGTCTCCCGCCATGACATGATGCCGCTGTCTGCTCGGCTGGAGACTGCAACAGGAGCTGAAGAGGGGCGAGGAGCCGCTGCATTTTGTTTCACCATTGAATTCAATTGTGTTTGTTTGCATTAGGCACGTCCCTCGGACCTTCAGCCTGCCTGAAAGAAAGGCCCCTACGTTAAGCCTTCCAGTCCTTTAGAGGCTGTGGGCCGAAGGGTCTGGGACGAAGCAGTCGCGGGAGGTGTGCGGGTTCGGATGGAGGGATTGTTCTAAAATCTATAAATCCGAAGCCCTAAACCCTAAACTCCAACCCCTACACCCTACACCTTAAGCCCTGCGCCTAAACCCTAAACCCTACACCCTAAACCCTGAACCCTAAGCCCTGAACCGTGGCTTTCTCGAAGGATTGTGGGAGGGGATGGAGCCTTCCACGGGGTGAGACCTGAAATTTGGACCAGCCCTTTAAGACCTACCTCTTCGGGGTTATTCGTATGATTAGGGTTCTATAAGGGATTCTATGATAGGGCTCTATACTAGGGGCCTTAATAATTAGAATACGTAGCGACGTAGGGTTTTGGGGTATATTCTAGAATCATTATAATCAGGAACCCCCCCACAATTAGCATTAGTAATGAGTTAGGCCCCTATATTCGCCCCTTCTCTGGGCACTTCTGGGCAAGAGGGGTTGAAACACCCTAAGCCCCTAAACCCTAAACCCCTAATCCTCAAACTCGCGACACCCACGCGCACCCCCTAAACTCTGAGCTCTACGCCCCTCAACTCCTCAACATCCTACTGCAAGCTCCACCTTAGACCCCAAAAGAAGCTATCTTTCAAAGAACTTTCATAAGGAATTCTACTGTAAGCTCCACCTTAAACCCCCAGACAAAGCCTAGCTTTTCAAGGACGTTCATAAGGAACCTTATTCAAATTCTTAAGGCCCCTATATGCGAGGCAGGGTTGAGGCTTAAACCCTAAACCCTGAACCGTAAGCCTTAAACCTTAAACCCTAAACCCTGAACCCTAAACCCTGAACCCTGAACCCTTAACCCTAAACCCATGAGCTCTGGATGTTCAAGCTCTGGAGGTCTGCTGTGCTCGGGTGACTTGATTTCCTCTGGGCTCGTTTTGGGTCTGCTGAAGGGTTTAGGGTTTACGGTTTAGGCCCGTTTTGACAAACTCGCAAGGCTTCTAAAGCTTAGGCTGTCTACACACCTTACCTTATTCCCTCTATCACCTTCCTCTTTGAGGAAGTATAGAAGGAGTCATAATCAGGAGCCCGAAGAAAGTAGGGGTTGTGGGGTTCAGGTAGCGGCACCCAAACAGAAGACTTTGATCCTGGAAGCCCCGAAACCCTGAGCCCACAGACCCTAGATCCTCAACCCTCAACCCTAAACCCTGAAACCTAAACCCTAAGCCCTGACCCCTAAACCCGAAGCCCTAAACCCTAAACCCTAAAACCCTTGAAGCCTAAACCCTAAACCCTGAACCCTGAACCCTTAACCCTAAACCCCGAACCTAAGCTCCTAAACTCTCAACCCTAACGGTGGCATCCTCGAGCCCCCTTTTTTGGGCCGGGTCACGAGGTGTTGGTCTTTGGTGCTGAGGGAGCAGATGGCGCAGGGGAGGCCGAGGCTCGAGAGGACTGGCAGTTTAGGAATTCGGTTTCAGGGCTTAGGTTTGAGGGGTTTATGGGTTTAGGGTTTAGGTTTTGGGGGTTTATGGGTGTAGGGTTTAGGGTTTGAGGTGCAGGCTGCAGGGTTTAGTGGGTTTTAGGGGTTTAGGGGGGGACTTGAATGAGGGGTCCCTTGCAAAGGGTTTGGTGTGTTTCAGGGTCAGTCTGGGGTTTTGTGCTTAAGGCGGGTTGGATTCAGGGTTTTGGCATTTGAGGTTGGAGTTTGGCTTTACAGGCTGGGCAGTTCCGTACGTGGGCCTCGCACGTAAGCGCTGTGGGAACCGACGCCATCCTGCACCCACCCGGTTTGCGTTGGTTGAACCAGACCGGGGCACGCCGCTGCGGTTTTTGATGACGCCGCCGCCGTCTCCGACGCTTAACCAGGGACACAGCCAGAGCTCCTGCCCGTCATGTGCGACAGCCTTGGCAATAGTCCTTGCCTTGACCTCGGCTGCCGTAGCAACTTAGGGTCTCTGAAATGTCAGCAGTGGCGGCGGCACCGTCTGTGGTAGTAGCATTAGCAGTCGCAGTAGCATAAGAAATAGGAGTTGTCGTTGACCTCGTCAGCACTGTTGCTAAGTTAGTTATTTCTTGGTACTGGCTTGTTTGCGGCCATGATTGTCTCAGTGAGGGTACCATCAACAGTCCTTTCAATACCGTAGTGACTGCCGTAGTGAAGCGCTCTCATTTTCATGATGATGGTTGTGGTTGTTGTGCCGGTCGTGGTGGTGACGCCTGAGGGCGGTGCCCCGACGTTTCTGAAGCTGTGACTTCCGCCGCAGCAGCCGGCAAGTGCGCCAAAACCTGAGCGTTGGTGCGAGTTTTTGTGTCCGGATCGTCGGGAAATCCTTTTCGCCAGCCCCAGCATGGGCTGGCGCAAAGGATTTCCCGACGATCCGGACGCCAAAACTCGCACCAACGCATCGTTCATGACGCGGCTACACCCTATCGCCCTGGAGCCTTTGAGTATGACCGCCAAAAGCGGGCGCAGCAGGAGTGGTGGTACCACAAAACGGCCAAGCGTCACAAGGAAGAGGCGGCCTCCTCTTCACAAGATCGACGCCATGAATCCGGCCACGAAGATCAAGAATGGACAGCATGGGACTGGGATTCGTGGAGCTGGCAAAGCCAGCCTCAACAATGGTCATGGGGCCCTGAGAAGGATGAGTTCTCTGAGGGAGACTACTACAATTCCTGGCAAGGACACGGCTCGGACAACTGGCGCTGAAGCGAGAGGCATAGCCTATATGATCCAGAGGCACAGCCTACTATGCCGCCTGCACACCTTAATTGGTGACCTTTTTCATCTCGCTTGCACTCGTGTCAATACGAGAAGGACGGCACACTTTCTTCACCGCTGCCAGTTTGAAAATATTGCGTGAGCGAGAGCCACGGCTCAGCGCTGTACTCCCACCTTGACCCTCTCCGCGCGGCTCGGCAGGTACAGCGGTCGCTCCTGGTCACACTTCAACTGTGCCGCGCGGTGTTAGTCGGCAGTTGGCTGTCTTTGCGCTAGTTCTTTTCTGCATTCAGTTTTGAGGTAGACTGTTGCATCACCTCTCGCGCACACCTCTTTGTTATGTATATGGCGACATACACCACTGGTGCTGTGGCACTGCTTCACCTTCCCTACGGCCCATAGCCTTTGATTGTGAGTGACCAAGTGTGGGACGCCACTAGACTGGCACTCAGGGCGCCGGCTCGGTTGTGGACTGACTACACCGAGTACGACCCGGCAATCTTAGGTTCGTGAGCAACGGATGCGTTGGCTCACACTGAGGGTGTCGGGGGTTATACATAGATCTTCACCTCGAATCGGCGCTTGAAGTCTCAGGCTTTTCGGTTCACGTCATGCTATTTCTGGTATTCCAGACTTTAGAGCAGAGTCAGCTTGTTTCAGTTTCACTTGAGCGCAGGTCTCGGCAATACGCCTGCCAAGCGCAGAGCACGCTCGCGCAGCGTTCAATTGCAAATTGGTGACGCTGATGAAGATGGTTCTTACCATTATCATGCCATGACAGTTTCCTCTTTCGTTTCGGCACTGTAGATATGATTGCTAGCAACCTTGTTTTCGTGATTGCTACTGTTGGTACCACCGTCACCTTGCGTATGATCATCACAGCCATGGCTACCGCAGTGTCACCGCAGCTTTGGATCAGCCTCGGCAACACAGCCCATCAGCCGGAGCTGAAATACTGTAATTAGCGTTCCGGGCCGAACCCTAATTTTAGGGTTTAGGGTTTAGGGTTTAGGGAACCCTCGTCTAGGGTTTAAGGTTTCTAATTACGGTTCTGGACCCTGAGCCTTTCAGGGTTCCGAACCCCGGGACTGTACCCGATGCCCTAATACCCTAAGTTCTGAACCCTACAAGCCTGAAACCATGCAGCGCTAACCCAAGCCTCTAGACCCCAAGCCCGAAGCCCTCAAAGCTCTAAACCCCCTAAGCCCCAAGCTCAACCCTAAACCAAACAACCTTAAACCCAAAACCCTAAACTCTAAACCCTAAACTAAGGACCCTTAAATCCAAAACCCTAAACTCTAAACCCTAAACCAAAACCCTTAAACCCCAAACCCGAAACTCTCGACCCTAAACCAAAAAACCCTTAAACCCCAAACTCGAAACTCTGACCCTAACCTAAGGACCCTTAACCCCTAAATAAACCCTAAACCCT